TCTGTGGTCCTGTCTTGTTTGCCCATCATGGCTTAAGGCTTAGAGCGTCAGTGTGTTGGATCCATTTAACACTGTCCAGATGAAACAGCCAGTGTACCTGTAAGAACAGGTGGTGAAGAAATGTTAAGGGAATCTATTCAGATGATTCTTTTACCTCAAGATTTTTTAAAAAATCAAACTAATAGGTTAATAATTATGCTTTATATTGGGAGCTATCAATAAACATGTTCTAAATAAACTCTTACCTTGCTGAACAATTAAAAAAATTCAAGTTTGACTTTTAATAGCACAGTATGCAACAGCGAATTTGAATTTCATTACATCAGCCTGTTTTCAAAAGGCAGATACAGAGAATCTTTTTATTACTCGTTTTCATCTGCTTGAACCTAACTAAAATTTTTACTATTGAAGAATTTCATGAATGGGTATCTTTTTTCATTGCTTGGCCGGTTATTATTATTATTATTATTATTATTAATTAACCATTTTACCACTCCAAATAATAATCTGGGGAGATTTTCTTCACCTTGTTCTCTTTTTACACTTCCTAGTTAATATTTCACAGCAGCCCATGTAAGGATGAGGTCTCCTCAGAGGTTGAACAGCTTCTATGGAATAATCAGGGAAGTGTTCATTTGATTTTACTATTTAGGATTTTATTTCTTGATCACTTGATGTGAATAGTAGTGCTCATTAACATTTCACCGTATTTGGGATTCTACAGTATTGAGAGAATATCACGTAAGGAACCAGGGTGCTTGGAAAAGGATCTGTAGCCTTTGAGGGAATAAGTAGTCTAATCTGACAGTTTAAAAGGTGTGCTACGCTAAAAGTTCTTTTACTTCCTGCAGCTTTTGTTTTATTAAACATTTTTTAACAAGTGATAGAATGGTCAGCAACTTAGAGATCATACTGTTTTTTGGGTTTTTTCCCCCTTTGGGACACACTAGGGAAAATATTGGGGTGAAGGGTTGGGGCATGGGCCATTTGCAATTTCAGTAAAAGTTACTGAGCGTTGGAGTTAGTTATCACTTTTCAAGAAGGAAAATTCTTAGCCCATGTGTGTGTGCAGTGCTTCATCCAGCTTCCATGAAGTATTTCTGTTTGTGTCAGTAACTGATGTAAATTGATGCTAAAAAAATCTTTTATCTGATTTCTTTAGCAGGGGGAGCAATCTCCGAACTGTTGTGAAGACCCTTGCCGCTCTTCATTTTCCCCCATCTGCCATCATGTGTTCTCTGGACACTGTGGTCAGTCACTTGAGACTGACTTTAATTTAAAACAAAGGCCTTGCCTCCCACCCAGGAGGTGGAAGGAGTGAATCCTGTGTTTGAATGAAGAAGTGAATTATGGAAGAACTGTATACATCCTTTCCCTTCCCTTTCAAGCATAAGTCCAAATAGGCTCTCAGGAATGAGGATTTATGAAGACATCACAAAGGAGTTTTTGACTCACTGACACTTGCTGTTTAGTTCTATTGCTGGAGAAAAGCTCCCTGTGGGTTTTGCTCATCTACCCTGACATTGTTTAGACCTGTCATTTCCTGGCCTCCTGTTGGTCTTCCCTTCTCAGTGCATGTCCTTGAGTGACTTGGTTTCTACCAGTGTCCCAGAAAGCCTTTTGTTGCATATTTTCTTTCTTCTGTTTTAAACTTCCCCTCTTACCATATACCATCTGTATTTCCATGTCATGTACAAAGGCAGGCCAATGAAAGAAAGAACTTGAAAGATTTCAGGTTTTAGTAAGGAAGGATGAGAAGAAGGCCTCTCTTCCTACATATCACATTTGCTTAAGAAGCTGGGCTAGAAGAGCTTTAGGATTGTGGGGTTTTGGGTGTTGTGTCCCCCCCCCCATTTTCCTTTAATTTCATGGTTCCCTCCAGCATTGGCTCATAAGCATTAATCATGGTTTTTGAAGAAAGCGAGTTTCACCTCTCTCCAGCAAAGAATCATCTGTAGTTTATATTGCACTGTCTGTGCTGACTTCCAGAAATAGAGGAAACACACCAAGATGTCTCTAAATAAGCGTTTTTTACTGGGGTGGGGGAATCTATGCAAGGACTAGAGTAAACTGTCCAAAATCAAAGCAGCAGCAACACTTCAAATCAAAGATGAAGGTAATTTTGGGGTTTGTTTTTTTTTGTTGGATTTTTTTTGTTGGTTTTTTTTTAAGTAATCATCGTTTCCTCTGTCTGCGCACCATTTTCCTACTACATATTTTAGCCACTTCCTTTCTGTGAAAGGTTGCTTAGCTTTCTCTCCCTCTCTCCCCGACCCCTTGCTTTTATTCTTAAAGTAGCAGATTGGATGGACATGTGTGTTGGATGTTTGAAGCAGCCAGGTGTGGAAAGGGCTCACTAGCCTCTCAAGTACAGCTAGCTGTAGCTGACCTGAAGTTGGTTCTCCTCGGTTGTCATTTTTTCTGCATCAGCTGGTGGATACACCTCTTTAGTTGCTGCACACCTTGATTACTTTTTGGATTTTAGGTAGAAATCAAGGCAGGGCACATCAGGAAGTCCCATTTCATCTGTTGGAACCAGTGTTTTTAGAAAGGAGCCAACTTTGGAATCAGTTGCAAAATGTTTCTATTTCTTAGATGCCATTGTTTTTTTCTTCACATGTCTGTTCTGTAAACTTGAGGTGAGTTACACCAGTAGTAATATACCGGTGGTGAGGTGGCTCACTACACATGCTTTTTCTCTGCATACATCACAACCATTCAACTTCTGTCTACACTGTGTGCTGTGAGAGTGTGCAAACCGTCTGACAGAAGGTTTCTGCCTTCCATGTGGGAAGTAGCTTGATTTCCTATTCCTGTACATTTGGATGTTTATGCTGTGTCCTTCCCAAACTGGCTACTGAGAAAATCAACTGAAGCCCTGTCAGATTGTCTCTGGCAGCAGTAATTATTTATGTTGGGGGGGGGAAAAAATTCCACTTTTAAAACCTCTTCATTTCAGTTTGGATCACTCAATTTGTACAATATATGTATATTTTCTTCTTCCCCTCTGCCACCCTGACCTCATTCTGTTTTATAGTGTTCTGTAGTTTTGTACAAGATGACTTTTAGCCTTGGTTATTTCTTGCTGAAGCTTTAATGCTTTGTAAATAAAATTGGATGTTTATTAAAGAACAGGTGTAGATGTTTGTTTGTAAGCACTGATAACGCCCGAAAATCTCCCCCTACTGTGCCTGTACTGTGGGCACCTTTCTGGGTAGACAGGATGGTAGGTCTTCGTTCTGGAAGGACTCGAGAGTAGTCAGGTAGGCCAGATGTCTACCTCTAGACAAGATTATAAATAAAGGATTAAAAGAAAGTTGACGTCAACCAAAAGGATGATCTGGAAAGAGTTCCCAGGGTCTCAAAATTCTTCAGCTCAACCTCAACAGTTTGTGTTTACCACATTGTTAGAGCCACGGTGCTGAGCACTCTGAATGTTACAGACATGAGAATGAGGGATTTCTATCTTCCAAGGACATGTCAACAAGACTGTTGTTGGGTGCCATTGAGTTCCCAGTTCATGGCCCTGTGTGCAACACAGTGAAACACTGCCCGATCACACACCATCCTCACAACGCTGTTGTAATTGAGCCCCTTGTTAGAGCTACTGTCCAGTCCACTTTGTAGAAGGTCTTCCTCTTTTCCTCAGGCCCTGTACTTTTACCATACATGGCATCTTTCTCCAGGAATTGGCCCCTCTAGATGGCATACCCAAAGCATATGAGACAAAGACTCTTAACTGAATACAATTAAACTCCTTATTGAAGTTTTTACCCTTAGATGGAATTGTTTTAAAACCATCAAATACTCAATGTCTCCTAAGAATGTTTCATCGAGTCTATTTAAGTTCCTGATTTTAGGTTGGGTTTGTTTTTTTTTTTAATTACTTTTTTGTGTGTGTACTGTCAAATCGGATCTGACTGGTACAGGAGATTGTCCCTCCCTCTCCAGCAGAGCACCTGGTGGATTTGAACTGCTTACCTCTGGGATTGTAGTACAGCTTCTGGCCACTAGGCCACCAGAGCTCACCTAAACTCCTGATTTTAATCATCTCCAAGTCTGTCTACTTAAGCTTTTCTAAGAACTGAGAGTCCTTTGACATCATAGCTGTTGCATAGCAACTGTGGCCCAAGCAAACAGTAAGATCCTCTGTTCTTTGAAGGGAATAGAGTCAGGATTAGGGATTCTCTCACCTAGAAAATGCTTTAGAACCTTTGGGAAGGAAGAATATCTAAAAGGAGGAGAGGAGCTACATTAACCTCTATTTTGCTGCTAAAGACTCCACTTCTGAAAGGGTATCTTCGCCCTCGTCTCTGAATTTTTCTGTTTTGAAAGTCCTTCAGTATGACAATGGCCTCATACTTTGCAAAAATGTTTTCATGTATATACCTCATGGGGGTCATATTTATAAGGGAGGAAAGAGAACTAGAAATTCAGGGAGGTTAAGTCCCTAGCTTCCTGGTACAGTGATTTTAATCCTTATTATAGAAGGTTTAGGCACATTTAAAATTGCTAATAACCCTAATTCAAATTAATCCTCTTAGATTTTTAATATTTAATTTCTTGTTTTGTCAGATTTAACTGAGCTTTTGAATCCTTTAATTTCTGTCCTGCAGTGTGGGCAAGAGGAGAAAAAACTCGGGCGGTTTTCAACTTCCCTGTGCATTCAGGTAATTGGGAAGTTCACTTTGGCTTCTGAAGTCTTTTCATCTTTTTCTTCCAAAGAGGTGGATTTAAATCTATTAAAGGAGATGGAAAGAATGAACGACGATAAGGTTTTTATGAACAAGCATGCATGTTAAAGGCAACAACAACATTGGGATAACCCCCCTTCCCGCCTTATGGCCTAACCTGTTAATAACTGAATTTCAGTCTATGATGTGCACTATTTTGACTTTGTAGGATATCTCTTGTTCAAGAACTTACGTTACAATATCAAAGAAGATTCACCCAGAATGCCTTGGGCTGTTTGCGGTAGGTAATTGAAGTCCTCCCCAGACATGAAGAAACTGGCCACTAGTTTAATCTTTGGGAGTCTTATGTTGGCCTCCCACCTGCCTTTTGTAGTGACTTTACCTAAACCACTAGACATCCCAGAGAAGCTGCAGGAAGCTGTTGGCACAGTTATTGTCAGTGCTACGGCTTGTACTGTCACCTGTGGCCTTGGCTATAAGGAGGAGACTGTCTGTGAGGTGGGCCCTGATGGGGTGAGAAGGAAATGTAAGTTTCAGCGCTTGGAGTGCCTGACCAACTGGATGTGTGGAATGCTCCACTTCACCATTCCCATGGGGAAGGAGTTTGAGCTGAGCTGTCTGAGTTCAGACATCCTGGAGGTTGGGCAGGAAGCTTTCTGGTTCACCTGGAGACTTGCTCGAGGTATCATCTCAACTGATGATGAGCTCTTCAAACCCTTCCGAACCAACACCCACTCTGTCAAGTTTGAATCTGCCAGTGAGTTTGATGCTGGGACGTACCGGTGTGATGTGCAGATGTTAAAAAACTTGAAGCTTGTCAAACGGCTCTATTACGGACTGAGGGTCCTCCCTCCTCACTTGGTGAACCTGAATTTCGATCAGTCGCTGACAGAGGATCAGAAGTTAGTAGATGAGGGTCTGGAAGTGAATCTGGACAACTATTCCAGGCCTCTCCGTCCAACATGGAAAAAACATGTGGCGTCTGCCTTGGCAATAGGCCTCGCCAGTGGAGTGGCTGGTGGTGTGATGGTGAGCATAGCCCTCTACAGCGGACTGAGGATGATCCACAGTGACAACACCCTGAATGGCTTAAAAACGTTGTGCCTGAAGGACTGACTGTTGAGGAAGCTGAGGTCGTTAAGAGTGTCTTCTGGCTACCAGGTTGTGGATGGATGAGCTACAAGATGGGTCTCCCACTGCCACAAGTATGTGGGGCGAGGATGTAGAGAGATGACAACATTATGGTAGCTGTGGGCAGAAACGTCTACCCTCTTTATACAGCAGATGGGTCTTTTGCTCGGAGGGAGTTCTGTCTTGTCAAGCTTGCGTTCCTTTTCCCAATTTTACAACTTGTAGCCTCCCCCCCCACCTCCGCTTCCTTCTCAGCAACATATTCATGCAGAAAAACCTAACATTTCTGAAATCTGTTTTTTTTCCCTCGTCAATAAAAATACTAATCCACAGTCGCTATATAACCTTTTTGTTACTCCTCTTCATTTAAAAAAAATCTTTTGTGTTTAAATTTTCCCATCATCACTCTGTCATTTTCCTCCAGTTTCTTAGACTAGACATCGAACGAATGGTCTGCGTTGCAGGAGGCCACGTGCCCTTGTTTGCAGAGCTGAGGGTGTTGGTAATGACATCTGACTGGAATATATTATAGACGGTCACTCAGAGGTAATCGGTCATCTGCTTTCCCTGTGTCCTCCAGTGTTAACCCTCTACTTCAGGGTTCAGTTAAACTTTCTGGCAAAACCCTGGATTCTTCAGCTGGTACATCGCTTCTGATCATTCTAATAGTTCCTTGCCTTGCTCCCTGCTCCTTTTCTTTTAGTTGTAAGTGTCCTCTAAACTTGTGTTTCTGGGAAAGTTCACAAATAGCAGTTTCTTAAGGCAGCCAAGACCCCCTAAGGGAAGAATAGAGTACCTACGCCCTGAAGGTAATTCATCTTAAGACTTGAAGGGCCATTCAGACAGTCTGAGATAGTTGGTTTGTGAAACCATCAGGGAACAGGCCTGGCCACCAGCTGAGATCATTCTCAGGAAAGAATGACAGCATTTGTCTCCATCACTTTTCTCTGGTTACAGACTTAAAAAAACCTTCATTGCCATCAAGTTGGAACTGACTCATTGCTGACCCTCCAGCAGGTTTTCAGGGATTGTAAATCACGCCGGAGGAAATTACCCTTCTTTCACCCTCAAAGCAACTGGTGGATTTGAACTGTTTGCCTTTGGGTTGACAGTGCAATTCCCTACCCTCTAGGCCAGTGGATTACAAGCTCCCTAGTTACAGAAGGGGATAGTAAAAATGAGAGACTCATACTAATGGCTCTTTTCTCTAGATATGTGTCAGAACTGCTTGAATGAGCTTTGAATAATTAAGATTTCTGAGCCCTGTCTCTGAAGAGAGGGAGCCCTGGTGGCCTAGTAGTAATAAGGAGTTGCACTCCCAACTCAAAGTCAGGCAGTTTGAATCTACCAGCTGCTCCATAGGAGAGAGATGAGCAATCTCCCGTGTGATGTACAGCCTCTGAAAACCTGCTGGAAGGTCAGCTATGAGTCAGTTCCAATTCAGTTTACCAATGATACCACAGCATCATCTCTGAAGATACTGATTAAAATGTGGACAAAGAATCTACTATTATCTCTGTTTTAAAAATTAAGACTTTCCTGTCTATAGGAAAGTTGGAAGAAGTACTTCATGATCATCCATAGACCCTTTACCTAGACTTGGCAGTAGTTAACATTTCACCACTTTTAGTCTCTCTTTCTTTATATATTGATTTTGCTGAGCCATTGAAGTTAAACTTGTGACCCTTTACAGCCTTCTTCATGCATGCCTCTCCTAATAAAGACATTGTCCTGTAACCATAATGTGTTATCACACATAAGAAAATGAGTCATAAATCCCTGATTTTAGATTTAATTTTACACTCAAATCTCCAGTTTCCAAATCTTAACAGCTTTGTTTTTGTTGTTTTGGGTTTTTTGTTTTTGTTTTTGTTTTTGTTTAATTGGGAAAAAACATATTGGGGCTACAAGGAGGTGAGTGTTGGGGGCAAAAGGGTGAGGATGGGCAGGGATGCAGTTGCAGAGCTGCAGAAATTGGTTGGTGGGGGAAGCAGGTGAAGGAAATGAAAAGGATCCAGTGGGGACCAGATGCTACAGGAAGATGACAAGCATTTTCCAATGGTAATTAAATCAACTGTCTTATTGATTTGGGAACTGGATGTCGACTCTCTGGCTTCTTCATGCTGAACAGGGGCGTTGATGTGAAGGGGGAAAGGGAGGACACTTTATCACCTTACTGGTGATCTTGGGTTAAGGCT